GGCCTTATGCTGCTCCAATCTCGGCCTTATTCCTTCCAAAATGCATTTGTTAACAGATTCCACCATGCCATTGGACTCCGGATGGTAAACGGAGGTGAACTGCAACTTGATCCCATAACTGGAACAGAAATCTCGAAATGAGGAGCAATTGAATTGAGTTCCATTATCAGCCACAATTTGATTTGGGATCCCATATCTGCAGATGATCGAGCTGAAAACAAAATCTTCGACCTTCTTGGAAGTAAGACTAGCTAAAGGCCGAGCTTCAACCCATTTTGTAAAATAATCTACACCAACAACCAAATGGGTTACACCACCAACCCTTTTCACAAATGGACCCAAAAGATCTAGTCCCCACTGTGCAAATGGCCATGGTGCTACCAAGTTCGTGAGTTCTTCTGCAGGTTGGTGAGTCAGATGTGCAAAGAATTGGCACTTCGGACATTTCTGAACAAAGTAAATGGCATCCTTATACATGTTTGGCCAGTAAAATCCCTGTCTTAAGACTTTGTGAGCCAGAGTTCTAGCACCAACGTGGCTCCCACAGACACCTTCATGTACTTCCTGAAGTGCATACTCGGCTTCATAAGGATTCAAGCATTGCAGAAGGGGAAGTGAAAAAGATCTCTTATAAAGGACCCCATCAACAAGTGTATACCGAGATGCTTTCTTCCTCAACTTCATTGCCTCTTGCCTTTCCTCAGGCACTATTCCATCTTGCAAAAAGGAGATAATTGAGTCAGTCCAGCTTGGTGTGTCAGGGTTTGTGCTAATCTCCATTATCCGAGGCTTCATGAAGCTTGGTTCATCTAAGACTTCCACAAAAATGGATCTGGAACTTAAAGAGCCATCAGAGGCGAACTTGGAGAGTAAATCTGCCTGCTCATTCTCAGCTCGGGGAATTTTACTCAGACATAATTTCTGGAATTTGCACTTCAACTCGGTCACCAAGGCAACGTACTTCACCATCACAGGATCAACAACTTTACAGATTGAGTTAATTTGGTTTACCACCAACTGGGAGTCACTGTATATTTGAATTGCACTGATTTTCAGCTCCAATGCTAACTATAGACCAAGTAGCAGAGCTTCATATTCAGCCATATTATTTGTTGCATCGAAATTGAACTTCAGGGCATGTTCGCTTCGGTATCCCTCTGGACCAATCAAGAGAGCGCCAGCCCCTGAGCCCTTGGTACTAGATGCTCCGTCAACATATAAGGTCCACTCGTTGGACTCTAGATTAGAGGTTGAAGGACATGGAGTGCATTCAACAATAAAATCTGCTAATGCTTGAGCTCGGATGGCTGATTTTTGCTGAAACTTTATCTCAAACTCTCCCAGTTCTACTGCCCACTTAATTAATCTTCCAGAGCACTCTGGTTTCTGCAGAATCTGCTTGAGAGGTTGATCGGTGAGAGCTATAATTGGGTGTGACTGGAAATATGGCCTCAACTTTCTGGCCGAAGTGACGACTGCTAATGCTGCTTTCTCAGCTATATGATACCTCAGTTCTACTCCATGCAGCACGCTGCTGATATAATAAATTGGTTTCTGCTGCCTAGCTTCTTCTCTCACCAGAACTGAACTAATAGCCTCGTCTGAAATCCCCAAGTACAAGTAAAGAAGTTCTCCATCTACAGCCTTAGTCAACAGAGGCGGTGAGCTAAGATAAG